TGTTCCATGGTCTTCCCAGGCACAGAGGTGAAGCTGACATGTTGGTAGTTCCCAAGGTCTTCTTGCTACTCTTTTTAAAGGTGGGTGCAGTTTTCCCATTTTTCTAGTCTCCAGGGTCTTCTGACTGCCAGGACTTTTCAACTGTCATGGAGAGTGGCTTGGCAACTACATCAGCCATTTCCCTCAGGACTCTGGGATGCATCTCATCAGGTAATGTGTATGTTCAGGTTTCTCTGGTGGTCATGAACCTGATCTTTTCTTACAGTGAGAGGGACTTTGTTCCTCCAGTCCCCATTTTGTAGGCCTCAAGAGGTGTGGGAAGAGAGACTGCCAGTGAAGACTGAAGCAAAGATGTCAGTCAGTACCTCAGTCTTCTCCTCATCTGTTGTTGCTAGTTTGCCAGTCTTGCTTTCTTTGACCTTTGTTTTCTGGCTGACATACCTGTAGACCCCCTTCTTCTTATTCTTTGCACCCCTTGCCAAGTTCAGCTCCAACAGGTCCAGTATGGTATCCCCTATGGTAGGACTGTCTATTACTTGGCACAGGAAGTTACCCTCCATGTACTCCAGGGGTCTCCTGGACTGCCTACCACTCGCCGTGCTACTTTTCCAGCAGATAATATTATGTAGAGTAACTCCAAAGACCTGGTCATCACTGGAAATTTTTTTTGTTGGGAATTTGCCATTTAACCTGGCTGAAGGGTCACCATAATCACATTGCTTTTTTCTCATGTCTAACTGGATATTGTACTTTTATGCTTTCCTATACCAACATGTTAACTTATTTACGAAAGAACATGCATCCTTCTGCAAACAAAATGCTCCTTAGATATCTGTAAGAATTGGACACCTGTAAACAGAATATAAAAGAGCAGCAGAAAGCATTCCAGTCAGCTTAGTAGGTTTATTTAAAGGATCATTCCTGTGGCTGCATATGAATGTGCCTTCTTATGCAAGGAAGTGAATTTGGCACATGTTCACCTAGATGGATGGGATTCAAAATAAGCATTCCCAGCAGCCCTTAGAAATACCCTGGCATGTTTTGTAGAAAAGACAGTCAATATATTCTTCTATTGCCTCTAGAGAGGCAATAACATGTACTAGAAATACTTGACAGATTTAAGCCCTGCTGTATGCCCATTTTGAGTGCAATCCAGATGTGTCTGAAGGCTTACCAACAAATGGAAAGGAGGCTGTGAAGATCAGGTACATGCCATCACTATACATGGTGAAGGTGATAGCAAAGTAAACAGAAAGGCTGCCCCAGATGAAGAACTGGTTCACAACTGTCCAGTAAGAGGTGTCCAAACCAATCTGAAAGAATGGAGCAATACAGCCAGTGTCAGTGCCTGAATTATTTAGCAAATCTGTGCTGAACACAGCTAGAGAACTTCTCCTTTTCTTTGTACCCCTGCTCCCAAGGCTGTTATTCATTCAAGTCTCAAGAAATACCAAGCCACAGATCATAGGATGCTAGGACACCATTTAAGGCAAGCATTACTATATTTGCCCTGTTGCAGTCTTCTCAAGCATTCACCAGTGGCCAGTACTGGACACAGGATACTAAGTTCAAATGAGCTATGCTTATGTCCTCACCCCCAAGCTCTGATCTCACATGGAAATTTTGAAGGACCCCACAAGACCTCAGACAGCAGAAACCATTATCTAGGGAGGTATGGTTGATTGGCTTTTCTTTTAAGAAATTTCTTTCATCCTGCTAGTACCATCTGAATTTTGCACCACCCAAGTCTTAACTATTTCTTCCAGCAAGTGCAGTTCTACTATCTGCATCATGCATGGGGCCAGGCTACAGAGACAGCCTCATGATGGAGACCCTATAAATAACTGCCTGATAGCAGACAGACAATCCCATGCTTCAAACTCATCCCATAAAAGTGAAATTAGTCCTTCTCTACTCCCAGCCTTAACTGTTTTATCTGCTATGACTTTAAACTTAAATGCTTTCCTGTCATCCCGATCTTCCATAACATACAAATCTGTTTTCTGTTGAACTGAGGAGAGTCACCTGATGTCAAGAGACTTTTTTTTTTGCAATAATGCAAGATGCAGCAGCAAATACAATGCTATCAAGATCCTGAGTGGCCCTCCAGATGCTGCCTTCATAAAGCAACAACTAATTCCTAAAAAATGTTACCTGGGATGGCTTACCTGTACGGACACCACAATCAATAAACAGGTCTGGGCCATCAGTGCAAAAGACTGGTAGTCAGCAATGGCCTTCCCATCACTTCTCACTGTATTGTACATGGCGCCGTAGGGTATGAAGAATAGAATGAGGGAACTGTAGATCCCTTGCAACATGCATTTGATAAACACCATTTTGTTAAAATAGAGGTTTTGCTGGCCAGGCACATATAGCTGAGGAAACAGCATACTCCAACGATCATCCACATCCTGAAAGTACACAGGAGATGGTCAGATTTGCTGACACCACCCAACCAACCACACAAGACCATTTAGGTTTGCCATGTCCCCGTGACATGCATTTTCATGAGAAAAGTCTTAGCACACAATCTACTCAGTTGTGCTGACAAGCGTGACACATCCCAAGATCACCTAGACATATTTTTGGTGTTGAATTTCACCTTTCTTGTGCTGAGAAAGCTGGCAAGTGCTGCAAAGAAAAAAAAGAAAGGTACACTTCATCTTAAGCAGGCTGCATGGTCTCCTCTCCTGGGAGTTGTCTGGAAGCTAAGGAATAGAAAGTACATCCACTGGGTCCACACACAGGCAAGGCTGTCTGACTTTGATCCCTTAAGAGTCCAGAGCTGAACACTGTGAACCATTGCAGAGTAACCAGTTCCTACATATTTAACTTGCAAAAGGCATATAGGAGCAGCTGTATTGCTCCTATGTCTTGCTGAACAGTAATAGCATATAAGGTAAAAATATGTATGTGAAATTACTACAGAAAGACTCCCACTAGAAGGCTGAACTTGGAAAACCTGGCTTCAGATTTCTAGTTCATTTATTGTTCTGTGTGGTCTTTAAAAAATAACTTGTCAGGCTTCAGGAACACAGCTAGTAAGATGTGACTACTTCAGGGGAATGTTGCAGTGGCAGCTTTTACTATAGTCAGCAATCTAACCCAAAAGTCTCGTCATGCACTGAAATCCACAGGGCAAATCAAGCTAATACACCATCTCCTCCCTGGTGCATCCTTTTTTTCTGTTCTCAGGTCTCATTGGCAGGAAACTATTTTAGGAGCTACCACAATAACTAGCCAAAAAGTCAGCTGCTTTTTCTTCATGGAACCAGCTCAAAGAACCTGGAGATAAAACCCCTATAAAAATCCAAGTGGTGACAGAAAGAGTACCTGATCGAAGAGGCTCATTCCTAGCACTGGGAGAGAGGTATACACCAAATTGTAAAGCGTAATGAACCACTCATCATAGACAGTCTAAAAAAAAAAAAGTCAGAGCATGAAATTAACAAAAGGCTGCCTTTTCCTTCTCTTCAAAAGTATCTACAATCAAATACTGCAACATCTTGGTTTGAGATGCTACTGAGGCCAAAAGTATAAGGTCACTCGAGCTCAGCAGCCCTAAACAGCTCATTACCATAAGCTGTGGGAATAGACAGCGGAGGGATCATGTTATGCTAGCCCTGTTTGCTCAGCACCCACCACCGGCCACAGCCAGAGATGGATCTGACCCTTGGCACCACGGAGTGGTGCCCCGCAGCGGGCAGCCAGTGGGCAGGGGCAGACGGCAACTGCCCTGCCTGCACCCTTGCACCCTCAGCCCCTGGGCTAACACTTGCATGCTCTCTGTGCTTCCCAGGGCCTGGGTTGGGGATTGGTTTGTCTTCAGGTAACACCAGATTTTTTGCTGCAGGAGATTTGCTCCTCTTGCAGGCTGCTGAAGCACACCTGGGGTTAGACTGATTGCTTCAGATGTGCTAATAGGGCAAGCATAGGTCTTACACAGATCTGTGACAGACTGGTCAGACATGTGTGTAATCTGTATCTTTATTTCATGGCTGTAGTCAGTTTGAACACTATTGAAAATCACGTTAGGTACCGATGTACTTCACAGTTGCACCTAAATGTCTTCAGGCATCTGTCCTCTATCAGCAGCACAATGAATGGAACAGTATCTGCTTTTTACTCAGACAGCTGAAGAAGACAGACATGTGTGCTGTTCAGTAAATGGGCGGGAAGGAATGGCTTAGTTTATTTCCTTTTAAAACTTTTCCAGATACTTTACTTGAAAATGCTAGACATGACCATGAGAAAACAGAAGCTGGACCTACCTGGGCTGAGAAGCCAGAGAAGAAGCCATACCAGAAGTGCACTAATGTGAAGGCAAAATTCTTATAGAAGAAGTATTTGAGGAACTTGCACATGCGGATGTAGGACCACCGGCCATGGACTAAGAGCAGGCGCTGCAGGTAACGGAACTGTGCAAAGGAAAAGTCACTGGACAAGACCGCCTGCATCCCCTCCTGGCCACTGATACCAACCCCAATGTGGGCAGCTGCAACAAGAAGGTTATTGATCATGTCATTACAGTGAGCGTTTTGATTACCCCATTTTTAAAATGAAACAGTGTATTAATTCACTCCCAGCCTTCATAAAAAGTCATATGTGAAGTTATTTTTAAAAAAAATAAAAAGATGTTGGGGCACTAATTCTTTCAGTGGCATTATGATTTTGGCTGTGGTGCTACATTTCCAGTAACTGGGTTTTTATTATTTGAATGAAATTACACCCTGAGTGACAATTCATGTTTTCTTTCTCGACGTTTTCAACAGCATAAATGCTGTTGTTCATAACAGCTGCTGGTATGAAAAAATGCGGTTGTTCATAACAGCTGCTGTTATGAAAAAATAACTTTAATTTATATTGCCATGTGACTTATATTTACATGCATGCATGTCCTTCCAGCAGCCTTAAAACATCACTCCAGACAAGCAAAATCTTGAAACTCCCTATGGATTTTTCAGACACAGTGCTACAAGGCAGACTGTAGCCTTTTTTACATTTCCTGGGCTTTACTACTTCAATCAAATAATTAGATAGAAGAGTCACGTCTTTTTTAATAGCAACTTGGGTTTATTAAACATGGACATAAGTTTAATGTGGCAGTTAATTATACATCTTTAACTAATGAGAACAATCTTGATGGCTGGATGTTGGTTAGCTTCAGAGGTTTCCATGGAACAGTGAATTGATAAAATCCCGAAGTCCCAACCCTCTTGTGTCTGGGGGTGGGTTAGTCTCTAATTATCATGTACACTTTAACTTGCATTTCTTATCCTTTCTTTCCTGACTGCCTGACTTATCTCTCTTGAAGCTCCCTACTTAGCCTTTTCTTTCTTAATTAAAAGGCTCCAGTTAATCAATTCTTGCAAATTAACACAAGGAGGATTAGCAATAGGCCCTTCTGAATAATCTTAATTTAATTATACCTAGTTAGGGGATTTTTTTTTTCCATAAATTCACTTGAGGTAATCAAATGATGCTGAAGGATGAAGAGGCCTAGAAGCCCATGTTTTATGACACAAGTGAGATAGCTGACAAGTGGGCCTACCACATGGAAGTGTTAAAAAAATTCATGTAACATTATGCAGACCATTTACAGGCATTAAGATTTTCTTTCTGCATTGCAGACAGGCTCTCTCTGAAACAAACTTGTTTGTTCTTTGTACTGCCCTTGTGATGGTGGCCACGCAGACACACAGGTGGATGTGTCACAGCCCCGGTGGGCTTTTGTCTATTCTAAGGTAGAAACACAGAAATAGGCAATAAGTGCAGCCTTAGCTTCCTGGTGTCACCGCGGTGGGAGCACAGCAAAGGGCCTTCCTGTGTGTCCTGGAAGGCAGGAGACACAAGTAGCCTATAGAATCATAGAATCATAGGATAGTTTGGGTTGGAAGGAACCTTCAAAGACCCTCTGGTCCAACCCCACTGTCATA